TAATTTCTAGAGCTTCTCAACAAAATACTCTGCAGCTTTTCAGCAAAAAGTTAGATACGTAGAGCCTTGCCTTTGCTCTACTGCACACCAGAGTATTGCCTTTTTTGTCTGTAACTGAGAGATGTACAGCCCAGCATGGGAATACACATACACAAATAACCATGAATCAGATCACTGAAGTGGATTTTGAGGAATGAAAATGCATGTCCCTGAGCAACATCCAGGCTGGGATGCTGGCTCAACTATAAGTAGCAGTTGAAAGTGAAGTCACCGGGGCACCGAATTCCTGGGTGCCCCCTGAAAAGTCAGACCTGTCTGAAGCTGAGCAGTCAGGATCATTGTAACACTTGAAAATCTTGGCCCAAGAACTGCCTTTTGTTAAACCTAGCAGGGTCACTTCATATTGGCATGCAAAGCTGCTGTGAAACCACCATGAGTAGAAGAGGGTGGCAGCAGTCTGTGCCTAATGGTGTAACTCCTTCTTTTAGCTGGATATAAAGAAAGACATCTAAAGCTTTCGGAAGAACTTGCCTTCTCAGCACACTGATGATGTCTACAGCTTGAAAAGACTGACAGGAGAATCAGTTTCTTGATTTGCCCTCCAACTCCTGATTTTTTGCTGCCAGAGACAGCAGGCACCAGCAAGCAAACAACTCAACTGCTGGTGCTCTAAGCAGATATGAAGCTTTCTTCTAACTATCTACTGTCTTAACTGTTTCATTTAACTGTGAAGTGCTTCTGCCAGGGTCTCCAGAGAAGTGCAGAACTCGGGTGTTGGCGTGCCTGTTCTATGCGCTAAGCACAGAGCAGATTTGTGGCACAGAAAGCCTGCGCTTCAAATATAAGATATGGAGCTGCAGATGGATATAATAAGTAGGAACCATAAGGAAACAATGACACAATTATGAGCAGCATAATAAGCAACGGCCATAGCGCACCAAGGCCATAGGCAGACTTCCTATTCTGGATTCCTAAATTTGGCATCTTAATACCTAAATAGAAGTCATCTGTCCCATCAAGGCAATCCAGAGCATCTCTCCTAGTTACCCCAATGCCTTATACAGCCAGTGGAAATGCCAGCTGTGGGTTTCCTCTCCAGCTACTCCCTTGAGCCCATCCGGCACCACTCAAGTCTGGTGCCAAGAAGGAAACAGCAGGCACCAACTCCTTTTTCCATGCCTCTCTGAGGGCTGAGACACTGGGTGCCACCGGGATGCGCTGCCCCAGGGCCACATTCTCACAAGAGCACTGGTGTGTGAGGTGGGGGAGGCGAGCAGCAAGAGCCTGTGCCTGGGAGCTTGTTGCAGCTCTTTGTTGCTTGCTCTGCTCTCAGCTGTGCTGTGGTTTGCAGCAGACCATGGTGCAGTGGAACTATAGAGCTGCAGGGAGAGGGAGCGGGAGGGTCTGGCTGCAGTTAACCAACTATTCTGGCCTTCCAGGAGTGGACAGTTACAGTTTTTGTTCATATGAGTGAGCAGTGTGCATCTTTTGTATTACAAAATGCATGAGCATTGGCTTTTACCCACCCCAGGATGGTCCCATGTTACTGAGTGACAGAAGGTTGCTCACTCTCCCGTGGGTCCCAGGTGCCTAGTGTTGTTTTCTGCACCATTGGTGCTTATCCTGTGTGATGGGTGAAGCTCATGTCTCTTCCCAGAGATGTCCATCATTCAGTTATGCTCTTCACCTGAGAAACAAGTAGTTATTCAGATCCTGACAGGTTGAATGGAGTCTAGCTCTCACTTTCTCTGCTTTATGGCTGAGTGTGGTATCCAAGAGGCTGTTATATATGCAGTGTCCCTTTCTCCTTTGGTCCTTTCTCGAGCCTGTCAGTGCATGGCACAGCCTGAGCAGGTTGAGTGGCTTCATGTCTCCCACAGACTTCAAGTTATTCTGCACTAATTGAACAAACGCTGGCAATAAAATGCTCATACACTTCTGAGTATGTGCAGTAAAGTGTGAGCATCTAGAGAAAGCAGCAGTAGAAGCAGCACTGCTAAGTTTGGATACCTCCTCAGGCTGGCAGCCCCAACTAGTATGTGGTACAAATTGCTCTGCTGAACTAAGGCTTCTAAATGACTCTTAAATCAGCCTTTGGTTTGCTCACAGTCAGTCTGAATGTTGGTCTATTGCCAATAACAAATGAACTTGAAGAAGGCTGGAATTCCAACCATTTTGTTTAAGATTCCCAGTGAATGTCTTTGAAAGTTTGTAGCCTTGCCATGTTCTGCTAATCATTTAAGCATTTAACTTGTCAGGTGCTCAGAAGTTCACAGTTTTTGTGCTTCTTTCTTGACTATACTGGCCAAATTTTTCCCAATTTGATAGCTTGAAGCAAGCATCTGTATTTTTATGTAACCATCTAAATCAACACTTTGCTCTTCCACATTCTGAATCCCCCATCTCTGAAAATCAGCCATTCTAAGATACCTACATATGGTTTTAGGAACCTAACTTCTGGCAGCCAAATTCATGTTTGTGATACTTACACATGTTTTTAATAAGAATCTAAACATAAACCAGACCAAAGAAAAAAAGAAGGGGAGTGAAGGGGATAAAAACAATACCCTGTAGGATATCTATGTGTTGACATAAAATATGGAATAATCGCTGCCTTTTGCATATGTGTATGCAGATTTTCTTTCAAAAGTGAATTACGGAATCAGTAGTTGAGACCATCCTTGGAAGATCACTGTATCTCACACATACCAAAACAGCAGGCCTCACACTGAGATGTTTTTCAGTGGCAATTCAGTGTCCATCACTCCTCAACAGAAGATCTTCTCTCGCTCACATGTGCTTACCTATTCCTCTCTTGGCAGGCCTAGGCAGAGGTTTAGCTGCAGTGACCCTCCAGCCATGAAAAGTGGGGAGCGTTTGTTCTTCCTTACACTGGAAGAGGATGTGCCTATGCTCAAAACTTAAACTGAAATCTAAACTGATTACCATACTCCCACCAGGAGAATGCTTAAAAAGTGTGAAAAGGGAGTGCATTCACTATTCACCTTTTTCCTGCTCCAGAGAGCACCTACAAACAAGAATGAGAGCTGTGGAGCTGCCACAGCCTTGTTCGTACACGTCTGCTGTGATCAAAACCTCTTAGGCAGGATGTGTGTAGCACCTTCAGACTCCAGTCTGGTCCAGAGTTTGCAGCAGGAGCTACTGAGGACAAAAAGCTCCTTCCTCAAGCCATAGATTGAGACAGAGATTTCCTTTCCTGTATATGTACCAGCACAGGCATACTCTTCTCCCATGCAATGTTAGGCAAGAAGATGAATTTCACCTAGACAGAGGGACCTGATGAGGTTTACCACTTTCATGGCTTTGTGTGTGTGACTCAGCTCACTGGCTATAGTTGGATACTGTAGAAAGGCTTCTTCATTCTTTACATTCGGTACTTCTCAGTACCCACCAAAAATCTTTTCCATGTTTTTCTTCCCTACAAGGAAAATAAACTCGTAAAGAGGGAGAAGTGAAGGGTTACATCTGGAAAGAGTTATGGCTGTGGCTCAAAGGAACAACTGGAATGTCTGTAATGCGGAAGTTTCTTCCACACAGCCATTTTTCTCCTTTTCTTGGGAAGTCCAGAAACGTGATGCTTCTGTTCACAGAGCAGAGCCCCCATGCAAATTCCAGTGAGGGACTGCAACAGCAACCCTGCTGAGAGCATGGGTGAAGACTTACATCAGTACTACCCACTCAACCTCATGCACATTGTCAGGAGCATCTCAGCATCAGAAACTTCACCTATCTTGAAACTAATTATAAGAAGCCACAGCCATAGTAACAACAGCAGATTTTATAATTGGCTCATTCTAATACTTTCTGGTATGCATTTGGGGAAAATGGATGACCCAGGGAATTACAGAGCAGTCAGTCTCACCTCTGTGCCTGGCAAAATCTTGGAGCAGATTCTCCTGGAAGGCATGCTAAGGCACATGAAAATCAACAAGGTGCTTGGTGACAGCCAGCATGGCTTCACTAAGGGGAAATCCTGCCTGACCTATTTGGTGGCCTTCTATGATGGGGCTAGGGAACTGATGGACAGGGGCAGAGCAGTTGATGTCATCTACCTTGACTTGTGTAAAGCGTTCAACACTGTCCCATACGACATCCTTGTCTCTAAATTGGAGAGACATCAATTTGATAGGTGGACCACTCCATGAATAAAGAACTGGCTGGATGGCAGCACACAAAGAGTTGTGGTCAATGGCTCAATGTCCGGCTGGAGACCAGTAACGAGTGGTGTCCCTCAGGGATCGGTGTTGGGACTGGTCTTGTTCAACATCTTTGTCGCTGACATGGACAGTGGGATTGAGTGCACCCTCAGCAAGTTTGCCAGTGACACCAAACTGTGCGGTTTTGTTGATACACTGGAGGGAAGGAATGCCATCCAGAGGGACCTTGGCAAGCTTGAGAGGTGGGCCAATGCCAATCCCATGATGTTCAACCAAGCTTAGTGCAAGGCCCTGCACCTGGGTTGGAGGAATCCCAGGCACAGCTACAGGCTGGGCAGAGAAGAGATTCAGAGCAGCCCTGCAGAGAAGGACTTGGGGGTGTTGGTCGATGAGAAAATGAACATGAGCCGGCTTCAGTGTGTGCTCGCAGCCCAGAAAGCCAACCGTATCCTGGGCTGCATCAAAAGGAGCGTGACCAGCAGGTTGAAGGAGGTGATCCTGCCCCTCTACTCTGCTCTCGTGAGACCTCACTTGGAGTATTGTGTGCAGTTCTGGTGTCCTCAACATAAAAAGGACATGGATCTGTTGGAACAAGCCCAGAGGAGGGCTACAGGGATGATCAGGGCACTGGAGCACCTCCCATATGAAGATAGGCTGAGAAAGTTGGGGCTGTTCAGCCTGGAGAAGAGAAGGCTGTATGAAGACCTAGCAGCCTTCCAGTATCTGAAGGGGCCTGTAAGGATGCTGGGGAGGGACTCTTCATTAGGGACTGTAATGACAGTACAAAAGGGTAATGGGTTCAAATTTAAACAGGGATGTTCAGGTTAGATATAAATATGTTCTTTACTGTGAGGGTGGTGGTAAATGCTCCATCCCTGGCGACGTTCAAGGCCAGGTTGGACAGAGCCTTGGGTGACATGGTTTAGTGTGAGGTGTCCCTGCCCATGGCAGCAGGATTGGAACTTTCCATTTCCAACCTCAACCATTCTATGATTCTATGACCTTGTGTATTTCTGAAAAGCTTAGTACTTGCAGACCCCACTGAAGTCAGCCAGCATCAGGGGTGTTTAGCAGACAGAAAGGCTCTTTGCAGAGATGGTGACTTGGAGATCAGAAGTACAGAGTCCACCACTGCCTCACAGCTTCATTCACATGCTGTGTTGCAGGGTGACTTCTTCTACCTTAAGGCTCAACTCTGAATATTTAGGAAAATATGGGATAAATAGACAGAAAAATTTTCTTTGGTGTAAAGAAGTGACATGAAGGCTGGGGAAATACACATAGAGAGGATCCAGCCTGCAACACTTGGTATTTATCTCTAGGATATCTATCTGACCACAGTTCTCAAGGGTTGGAGGGTTTTGTTGTTTCATGAAGGTGAATTATACACAGTTCAAAACAACTCAGTTCTCAAGCTGATGTAATATGTCATTGAATACTTTTTAAACAAAAGATTGATTTCTGATCCTGAAATTCAAGTGTTTATCTGAATCTGGTTTTATTTTTAAATCTCTCTTTATTTTTAAATCCCTCTCTCAAAAAAAGAAACTTGCCCAGGTGCTTAACTGTTTAAGAATAACTCAGTTTCTGAAGAGACGGGTCAATGTTTGAAGACCTTAATATTTATTTAAGTAAAAGTCACAAAGTTATTTTCAATTAATACAGTATCTGAAAAAAACGCCAACATTATCTCTGAGGTTTTTACCTCAGTTTATAAGTTTACACACAGTTTATAAGTTTGTTAGTTTATAAACAAACTTATTTTGGGGTAATAAAAGAGAAATTAACAATCTATAAGGCAATAACATCTACAGTGACATTTTGATTTACATTCATAATGCCTAGAGTATTTGTAATATACCATGTCCTGCATGCTATTCTTGTTTTGCTTTTCCCATAAGCATGCCAGACTGAGGACAAGGTTTGGGGAGAAATATTGAACTTCACTTGTTTCTAAATGCCACTCAATAGAGAACAGAATCTTCCCCATAATGGATCTTCTTTTTTTTGTCTGAAATAATTTAGCTTCTATTTGCAGCCACTTTTCCCTTTCTAATTTGTTTAACACAGAACAAAACTATGCCAAAGCAAAAGTATTGATTAAGGAAAGAATTTTCTGTTCACGTCAGTGTTTATTGTTTTTTTTTGGAAATAACTGTGAGCAGAACAGCTACCACTATCCCAAATAAGCAGCATCTGAAGTGCATCTAACAACTGGCTTTCCAAATTCTCCCATGTGTGCTTGACTTGATCCTGCACCATCTCCAGTAACTCTTCCTGGTAGTTAGATGTGTCACCAGAACAAATGTGGAGGAGAAATTGTGTTTAAAAATGGTGAAAAACACAATGGAAAACTGAGGGCAGATACATGGAGATCTCCTTGCTCAAGTCTTGAAACAAATCTACTGGTCCCACATGACAGCTATGAAAGCACTTGCCTGACAGTCCATCACCATGAAACGAAAGATTCTACTGTGCCTCAGACTTTGCCATTCTTCACACTTGAGCAGTTATCCACATCTCCTGAACATCCAATTATGTGGGAATTAATTACACACTATGTTAAATTCACCTGACAGGTATTCTGATGAGGTGATTTGCCAGCTATTTAGCTGTCCTCACTGTTGAAAGTCTGTGTTTCATTTGCAGTCCAAACTTGTTAATGTTCAGCACACAATTGTTACATCTTACACTGCCTTTGCATGGGGAGTTTGTTAGCAATACATTATACCAATATCAACATTTTATATGTGTTAATATTACAGTAATATTAAGCTCATGTTTCCTATGGGATTATTGATAAAAGCATTAAATAACATGGGAGGAAAACTGGATTCCTCTTAGAAATACACTTGCTCAATGATGACATGCCATTGCCAATGTTCTCCTGCTTCCAAATTCTATTTTGACACATATTGTCTCTTTGGCTGGTAATCCACTCCATACGGGCCATTCTGACTCTGACTGAAGCACCTTTGCATTTAAAGCATCCCACAACATCAAGTGCTTTAAAGAAGTATGCCGTCTGTCAGTGCTGCCTTTTTAGCAAATACATTTATAGTCTCATTTTTCAGATATAGCTAGACAAGAACAGATTTCCAAACAATGCATCTTGACTGGCAAAACCAAAATGTTATCTCCACTGCTCTAATAACTCACTAATGAGCTCTTCAACAGCAAGTTTAGAAGGCCCTGCAGACCACAGGATTGTTCAGGAAACTGCAGGACTTATTCCAGATTCAAGTGTTCCATGGCAACCTTCTATTAAGGGAGTAATTTAACCCTAACAGTTAATGCAGGATCTTTTCTTGACCTACCAAGGTGACACCCAGCAAGGAAGGGACAAACCATTAATGTCTTACATTAAGAAATGTGTACCACAGCCAGCAATGGTTTTAGTCAGTCCCAATGACAAAGACAACCTCATTTCCTTCTCTGATAGAAGATAGATTCCTGACTTTTCAGGGCCTTGGGTTTGTAGGTGTCTTTACTGCTTTAAAGAAATGTGTTTAGAATGGAAACCCATTGTTCTGAAACTGATGCTGAGTGCATTCTGAGGAGCATAATTCGGGGAAGGACTGTGCTGTGCAGACAAAGCAGGAAAAGCATCTGAACATCTGTGCCACAAAAAAGCTAACTCTGGACTTGTTAGTCAATTGTAGAAGAAAATTCCTGTTTGGAGGCAGTAATTTTAATATTAGAGTTTGGCTATAAAAGACTTGGGAGCACTGAAGCCCAAACTGCTTCCCTTTGCCATCATAAAGTCAGAATTGTTATCAAAACCTCCCTTCTCTCCAGATGGAGAGTGATGGGGGGGGGTAGGAAGGAAGAGGGGGACTGTGTCTTTGTCGATACCTTGTTTGGGGTGGGAGAGCAGCAGCTGTGAGCTCTTCAGCTCTTCCCAAGGTCTTCCACAGCTTTCTTAATGAATGAGGAAAGGGAAATTGGAAGGTGGTCATTGAGCATTCTGGCTCATCCCATTACTGGCTTCCTCATGTTACAAGTTGTCCTGGGTTTAGCAGCAGCAGTCAATTTTTCTCCTTCTTGGTAGCTGGTGCAGCGTTGTGTTTTGACTTTCAGCCTAGGAACAGTGTTGATAACACTGATGTTTTCAGCTGTTGCTAAGTAATGTTTACCCTGACCAAGGGCTTTGTGAGGCTTATGCTCTGCAAAGGAGGAGGGGAAGCCGGGAGGAAGCAGAGACAGGACACCTGACCCAAGCTAGCCAAAGAGGTATTCCATACCACAGCACGTCATGCCCGGGGGGGGGATAACTGGGAGTTACCCAAAAGGACATGGAGTCTTCTTTCAGTGGGTGGTATCGTATTCTCTTCCCTTGTTATTTTGTCTTATCACTGTTGTCGTTGGTGGTAATGGTGGTGATTTGTGTTGTACACTGGTTGCTGGACTGTTCTTGTCTCAACCCATGGGAGTTGCATTCTTTCGATTCTCCTCCCCATCCCTCCAGGAGCAGGGAAGGGGAGAGCCTCTGGGGTGGGGGAGGAGAACACAGGCCTTGACTGCTTCCAGCCTGGCACCACTCACTGGGAGTGAGTGAACGAGCTGTCTGGCTGGGTTTAAACCACGACACAAACATACAAAACACAGTGGGAAATATGATGCCTCTGTATGACATTTCTGTTGTGAATGTGTTAGGAGTTAATAACTATGTTAATAACTATGCATGCAGATATACTGGAACTTAAATTGGATGCAATTGTACTTCAGCAGTTTGGCCTTTACTCCTAAAATGGAAAGCAGCCATGGAATTGTTTGCCATGACAAGAACAAAATCAGTCTTGCATGCAGCATAGGTTTGAGGGGGAAATGAGAAGGACTTTATATATAACCATGTACCAAGGATCCTGATTTGGCAGGGCTTCCGTTAGTTTTTCTTTGCAAAATGTTTCTTATCAAGATGGCTATCTGGAGTCTTTCTCATCTTTCCTGTTCCTTAGGGATTTTCCTTACAGGAAATGTTTTAAAATTCTAGATATAATTGCAATTTTTGCTCTTTAACTTTTCAGACTCAGGGGTGTCCTAGGTCCTGTGCTCTCCAACACAGACTGACAAGCAGCTTGAAGGAAAACTCCTTTATAAATCAAAGCTCTTGTTTCATCCCTTCTTTACTCCCTTGTCCAGTCAAACAGATTCATTCTGGATTGAGAACATAATTTAGTGCATTTATTGCTCTCCCTCAGGCCAGAGGACATTTAGTTCTTAAAGGAAAATGTTCATAAATAATACTTTTCTTAAGTGTGCTGCAGAAGCTGAATTGTTGTAAGCCTTTTTTCACCAAAGCTGCCTGCAAATGAACAGCCTCAGGGAAAGGGCCTCATCACCAGGGCATGAAGCCAGGACAGCAGTTGAGATGGTTTACTCAGGTAATGGTGGGATGCTTTTCTCAGGCGGGACATACAAATGCTGGCTGCCTGTGTATCCAAGGGAGTCCTACACATCCCTGCTAATCCTGCTAATATCCTGATACACACTACCCCATGTGCTGATACACCATAGCCATGAGCATCAGAGGACACTCACAAGTAACAAGCTGGTTTCACAGCACACAGAAGTGAATGGGCCACCCCACCTCTGAGACCTCCCTGCCCTGCAGCTGAAGCACTAGCCCAGCCCAGTAGAGCTCACCACCACTGGCAGCATAGCCCTGCCATGCTGCAAGTGCTGCTCCTTCCCCTTCACTCCCACTAACAAGCATCACACTGATATAAATGACAAATGTGTTGAGGGGAAGGAGATTAGACAATAAATAAGAAAGAGGGAGGAAGCAAAGGAGAAATACTCTCCTTCTGCTGACATGTCATCACTG